GAGTATTTCCATGTTCAAAAAGCCCCAAATCTGACTTTTTCTAACACCCCTTTAACCACTATTCAGTCCTAAGAAAAAGTTTACATTATAATTTTATAGTCTGCTTCATTATTCTGCTTCCTTCTAATCTTAGCACTACTTTTGCTACTCAGCTGGGTTAAAAATTGTAGAACAATCAGCCGTACATATCTCAGTTAAATGTGAGTATTGTGTGTAATTGAGAGGGATGTTTGGCAATGTGTGTGAGATAAGGTTGAGACCACGTATCAGAAGAGTTATAATATTATTTATTCAGATTCCTTGCATATCCCAGACTTCTAGCATTGTGTGAATTATTATAAAAGACAAAAATTGGAGATCGTCTACAGGCTTTGTAATGAACAAAGTATTGAGGGGGAAAACCCCATACATTGCTTATTACGAGATCCATTTGGATGGATGGTGCTTATTTTTACTAAGGTCCTGTTTCCTTTAGTGCTTATTTAGCACCATTTTGTTTAACTAGATAACTTCTTCAGTTGCTTATTTAACAGGATATCATAGAATCATAGAATGGTTTGGGTTGGAAGGGACCTCAAAGATCATCTAGTTCCAACCCCCCTGCCATGGACAGGGACACCTTGCACTACACCAGGTTGCCCAAAGCCTCATCCAACCTGGCCTTGAACACTTCCAGGGATGGGGCATCTACAACTTCTCTGGGCAACCTGTTCCAGTGCCTCACCACCCTCTGAGTGAAGAATTTCTTCCTTAAAAAAAATATCTGTTTTGTGTATTGTCTTTTCAATTAAAAAGCATTTAGATTGTCCAGTTTGGAGGAGGCTATGAAATAGAGACGGGATGTACCCTTTGGCTGGGTTCCTTTCCGAGGTTGCTGGGACCTCAACAAGGGATTGATATAGCCAAGCTCAAGTTTGCTTGCGTCAGGTTAGCGAAGAAAAGGGACATCTCCTTTTGATTTTCTTCCCTTTGTGTTTACAGCCAGCTATAAGTGCTTATGAAACGCAGCCACGTTCTGCATGATAGATGAAAAGCTGTTCTCAGCGAGTATGTCATAGTTGAGTCAGCTGGGCCCCCTGCTGCGCTCTGCTTTTGTTGTTTTGAAAAAGATCTGTGTCCAAAGTACCTAGTTCTGTTAAATATTAGTAAGGCTGGACAGTGAATTTTGATTACTGAAGTTGACTGAAGATGTATTGTCTGCCTTGTGTGTTGCGTCTGGTAAATAGGTGGTTGCCGTGGCAACTGCCTAAAAAGGTAGAGGGTCGCTGATACCACATAAATTCTTTAAACAAAACCTGATCATGGTGAATTCTAACATTAGTCCTCAAAGAAGGATAAAAGAGGAGGAAGAGATTGAGACAGCTTTTTCCTTTTGTAAACTCACTGCTTTATAGGGGAAAAATAGCTAGAAATAGTCCGTCTCGTATGAAATGAAAAGGTTGTGGATTAAGGCATTGCCTTAGTGACACAGCTGTATGGATGTGAAAGAGAAAGTTCTCCAGCTTCAGCCATTATGGGTTTGTTTGGTTAGGCCTAATTTTGGAAGTCATTATAGCGAAGGTAAATGCCTTACACAGGAGACTCCTGTAAACAAAAGACTCGATACATTTACTTTGGCAGGAGCCTTGAGAAGCCTCAGTCCTTTCACGGCCTCTTCCATGCAGCCTGCTGCACCACTCTCACTGCCCGCCTCTGCGCAGCAGTTCTCCTCTGCCTTCCTCCCTCCCTGGCACCTTCTTTCCCGACAGGTGGGGTTCGAGGGGGGCAGCCTCGAATGCTCCATTGAAATGCTGGTGGGTAGCTGTAGGATACCTTTATTTTCATAGTAGCTGTCCCTGGACTTCAAAAGCTGCTGTGTTTTGCTCAAGTAAGAATTTGTTCTCTCTCTCCCAGTCTGGTACCAGAGTATAATCTGTTTCAATGTTTTACTTTTTAATTACGGCTCCTCTTGGGTTGCTTTTGTGTTTTTTATTTTATCATTTAATAGCCTTATGCCTGCAGGTTCTAAGCATACTGATGCTTAGCTGAGTTTCCTAGTTTTTCAGTGAAGAGTAAAGTATGAGAATGAATGTTTATAAATATGTAAAGGGTGACTGTCATGAGGATGGAGCCAGGCTCTTCTTGGTGGCATCCAATGACAGGACAAGGGGAAATGGATATAAGCTGGAATATAGGAGGTTCCACTTAAACATGAGGAAGAACTTCCCAGTAAGGGTACCAGAACACTGGAACAGGCTGCCCAGAGAGGTTGTGGAGTCTCCTTCTCTGGAGATGTTCAAAACCCGCCTGGACACGTTCTTGTGTGATCTGATCTAGGTGGTCCTGCTCCGGCAGGGGGATTGGACTAGATGATCCTTTGAGGTCCCTTCCAATCCCTGACATTCTGTGATTCTGTGATTATAATTCCCTTTCCAGTTCTCCACCCATGCGGATCAGTCGAGGCTCTGCCCATCCCACACCTAACGCTTGTGTGGGCGTGGAGGCAACTGTTGGGAAGTGCTTTCAGTCAGGGAGTAACTGTTTACCGTGACTCCTAAACCATTGCTGTTCATTATTATTATTTTTTAATACAATATTTTTATGCTAAATCTTCATATCACAAAAAAAACATCCTTGCACGTTCTCACACGCTTTATGCCTATGGGGGATAGCAATGCTGCGAATCGTTCTGACATACAACTGGTACCAAAGCAATCTGTAGAGTGATTTTCTCCTGCTGCTACAGAAGAGAGGATTATCTTTACCTCTGAAATTGCTCCCATAGTGCTCATTAACCAGAAATACAGTAATTGAGAAGCTGGTAGGAAAAGATTTTGTCTAATAGTAGCCCTGATCTCTAAAACGGAGTTTAACCACATCAAAAGCACTAAAATGTTTGACCAGTATGACTGATGTAAACAAGCCAACCATGGAATTGGGTGTCTGGAAAGATGTTTTATTTCAGATTAATTTCATCTCATGCTGTATATACAAGATGCTTTCAGGTCAGGTGACTGATTCTGAAGAAAAAGATGTGGTTTTAGCTGCATGAACTCTTTTGAACTTCCTTCCACCTGCAGGGTCTTTGAACGTTAGGAGAAGCAGACAACTTTGTTTTAGTGGTATTATTCTCCAATGTCTTAAAAAAGCAGAAAGAGATGTTCCTTAAAGAGAAAACATCCTGCTGTCCAACTTACTGGGGGAAAAAAAGGCCAAAGATACACCTCTTGAAAAAGCTAGCACAATGTTCTGACTTCACATTAAGAATTAATAAAATACAGATTTTTTTTTTTTTCCGGTGGTGAGGTAGTTTAATATCATTACTTCCTTCTGTATAAGCTACTGGAGTGATGGAAATGGTGAGTTTTGCTTACTGCCCCAAATCAAACCCAGTCCAGTGCAAAAGTTTTGGCTATACGTACTTGTTTTAAATTTCCATTATGCGATTCAGCCTAGCATTTCAGAGGTGGTGGTGTGGCTGTCAATAGAATAGACACACTTGGAGAAACGAGCAGCAAGAAGCTGTGTGTGCTGTCTGATCACAGAGCGCTCCATACACTGCATCTGTCAGGAAGTTAGCATCTTCCTTAGGGTGAAGAACCAGCCTGATTTACAGCAAAGCCAAAGATCTAAGTAATATGTAAAACTGAAGACCCGTTTTCCTTCCGTGGATTTAATATCATAACCTTCTTTTCATCTAACAGTAAGGTAGTACACCTGTAATTCTAGAAGGTTATGCTCATGGACATGAGTGTATTCCTGGTATTTTATAATATGCTATTCCTCTTAATTAATCTCTATCGCGAAGGATGTTTTACTTCCTTTCTACACATCAGAATGTGCTTTAGGTGTAACATTCTCAATAGACTTGACTGTGAAAATAGGTTTATTTTATTTTAAGAAGGAATTTTGTTAACTCTGCCCAGAAGATTTGTTGAACTGAGTAAACACTGCAGATACATACTATGAAATGCAGACCAAGTCTCTGCCTTAAAGCCATGGCGTTGGCAGGGAGGCATATGGGAGCTCCCCCTGTGCCTTTCACTGCCTCCCACCCACCAAATCTTTAGATAAATAGAGAGTGTGTGAGGTTCCAGGAGCTCAATCTCACTGCTGCGGCTGTGGTTATACTCAGCAGCCAGAGAGGAAGCTGTTGGGGACAGGGGGTCCTTAAATTCTAAAAGTTTAATGATTTGCTCTTCTAAGCTCTGAGCAATCTCTATCACCATAATCTAATCATTGAAACAATCTCTTTTTGCTAGACAAAACTACGTGTGCCTTATGGTAGCTGAAACTAATGCAGATGGGACCTGCCACCCAGCTCCCTGGTGACAGGGCTGAGAAGGAAGGGTTGCATTCCTGGCGTTTGGGGTGACCATAATGTTCTTCGTACTTCATAAGGCCAGTGAAGGCTCAAAACCGTGTTGTTTAAGCCTGTGAGGAAATACTGCTGCCGTAGGAGGAATGTGCTGCTTAAGCCAGTTTCTTTTTCAGAGTTTCTCTTACTATAGCCACCTTATTCCTAGTAGAAACTGTTGGAGAGGATGGAAATGGAAAAAAAAAAAATGGCCCTGGCCTTGTGCAACAGGTGCAATTTTCAGTTTTGAGCATGAGCTGAGCTGAGTCTCGTTCAGATGCACAGAGAATGGCTGCAGGCAGCCCAGGCAGTGACTGCCGCAAGAACTTGGGGTTACTGCATAAGTGTTTCGTGCCTCTTGGAAAGACGCCAAGCAGAATTTAATTGCTTGTGGTGAAATCTTTCTCTGTGGCTAGATAGGACATTGCATACTTTTGAACTTCTAAATTGCTGTGGGACAGCCTGATCTAGCGTGGTTGTATTTAATATACAGACAGATAATGAAAGATACTTCTTAATCAGATGGAGTTCTTTGATGCACCTTTTTGTTTGAAATATGCCACACTAACTTGAGGGAGAGGAAGGGAGTTCTTGTAATAACATACACATTTGTTTTTCTGTTTAGTAAATTGACAAGTGTTTGGTTTTTCTTGTGTCTGCCCAGGAAACCACGTCTTGTCTCCTGGAGAGTCTGTTGGAAAAGGTCTAACGCCAGAAGCTGCAAAAGATCTTGGTCTCCCTGAAGGGATTGCAGTAGCAGCATCTCTCATTGATGCACACGCTGGAGGACTAGGTACTCAGTCATATATTTACTATTATTGAAAACAAGAATGTATTGAATTAATTTTAGAAAGCCAGTTTTCTCACAGCCTGTCTTAGGTCCAGCAGTTTGCCTTGATGCTATTCTTATGAAACAGCATAACTAAAATAAAAACCCCCTCACAGTAACTGCTAATATTGAATATCTGTTTATAGAAAGAGGCTCTTGCTGTTTATTTCTTTTTAGCTGGATTTCCAAATCGTTTCTTAACTTCTTCTAGTTCCACTTTGAATTCCTGAGCTGAAACACCATTGTGTTGACATGCCAACATGCTGAGAGTTTGCATCTTCTGTTGCTCAAAACTTTGGGGATGGGCAAGAAAAAAAAAAAATTAATATGCTAAGGAAGAAGTCTCATGTCTGAGGCTTGTTCATAGTTAGTCTTCCTTCTTAGTTTTAGTAGCGACCCATGCTTTCTTTAAATAATGCCGTAGAGACTTTTTCACATACATTTATGCTGGGACAGTGTGGGATACATACCAAAAATGCTGCTTTTGGTCTAGGGGGTTAGAATATCTAAATACTGTGTATCTAAACTAGCAAACAGAAGTAGAGGAGTAACTGGCCACTGCACAGCATTCCCTTTCTGTGTCTTTGAACTTTTTATCCACAACTGGAGTTGGTGGCCTGATGCTTAGATTTTTTCTTTTCCAGCACAATATTCTTATGTGCCCAGTTTCAACTTTGTGGAAATATGTTTAGTGAGGCTCAACTGTTTCGTTTTCTTACTGTGCTGTTTGGCCTTGTCTAAATATAGTCAATAA